TTAAGAAGAAAGGTAGGGGGACCGATATGCCCGCGCGCCATATATATGATCCCAGGTCGAGGATTCACAGCCCCCCCCCCCCAAAGATGGGATGGGCCCCAGGGCTCCACAGGCCCCCCCCCCAAATGGGACGGGGTGGGCGACGACGAAGACGACGACGACGACGACGCCGACGACGACGACACCGACGCACACGCCGACACCGACGTCAACGCCAACGCCACGTGGGACGGGGCGGTGGGGACGTCGGCAATTTGCGAGACTCTGGAGAAGCCCGCCGCAGGCGCCAAAGTTTCACAAATCATACAACGAGCCCGCCGCAGGCGCAAATTTTTTCGTCAAACCAATGTTGGTAGGTCGCGGTCGCAAATGGGCGCGGGTGGGTCGCTGTTGGGTCGCGGGTGTAGAGGGCAGAAGATTCGCCCCAGAATACTCACCACGACAAGCGAAGCCGTTTAGTAAACGCACACAAGGAATGAATCGAACGGGGCAGGGCTGTGTAGTCAACGCCCAGGGCCGTCGAGAAAACGTCAATTGTCGGGTCTGGGTGGTTTTTCCTCCCTTGAGGGTGGGTCGCGGGGTGGGTCGCGGATGGGTCGCGGGGTGGGTCACGGATGGGTCGCGGATGGGTCGCGGATGGGTCGCGGGGTGGGTCGCGGGTGGGTCGCGGGTGGGTCGCGGGGGGGTCGCAGGGTGGGACGGGTGGTCGGGGCTGGGTCGCCGTGGGGATGTCGCAGGTGGGGTCGCGGGTGGGACGACGACAACAAATAACCACAACAACAACAACAACAACAACAACAAAATTACTAGCACGTGCGGGGGACACTCGTTACTCACCAGTGCCAGGGTTTTCATAGGAGGGGGCAACTACACCAACTTTGTGGGGGGAAGGTTTCAAGCTACTACAAAATTTCAAAACGACCTCCTTCGCCACCACACACACCAGCTTCCCTGCCCTAGGGGCGTGTCGGACACTCACTTCGGGTATCCGAGGCACCGTGGATACTATTCAGGGCCCGCGGCCGACGAAGACGGCGTGCGCGCGCGAAGAAAAAACGAATGGTTCCCGCATGGTATTATTGAAAGGGATGAGGCCCTGGCAGCGTGCCGCAACGTTGTTGCAGAAGTTCGAAAAAGTGCTAGCAAAAGCCATTTTGACAGAAATGTTAAAAAAGTGTTGGGTTTCCTACGAATCCGCAAGAGCGCGCGGGATAGAATGTTCACAACTTTTGTTTGAAAAACCATTGGGTTTTTTTGATGTTTTTATGTTAAAATCGTTACGAAAACAAAAGTTTTGGAAGGATTTCGTCTTGCGCGCGCGAATGTGCACTTTGTGTCATTTTTTGCAATGGATTCTTGAAGCTTGGTTATCTTAGAACAAGAAATGTCATTTTATATTGTTTTGCCAAGGGAAAGCGGGGGGGAACAAACAAAGGATTTGAGATCACACGTTTGTCAAGGGCGTTCCTCGAAAATGATGAAATGTGGCTGTTGCGGGCCTAGGCGCGGCGGGAGGGCCGGTGCACCAGGGGCCCAAACAAATAATTATTCTTAGAAGTAATAAGTTCAACAACAACAACAACAACAACGACGCCTAACACAACAACAGCAAACGACAACAACACAACAACAACAACAAACGCAACAAGCAGAACTTTCACACGAATTCATTATTCAGCAGACGCAGGGAGACAGATTTACCGTTCGGTCCCCCTGACTATGATATATATATATATAGATGCATACGTGTAAATATTCAGGCGCGTGTATGTATATAGATAGATGTCTATTTACAGTGACATAGATGTATAGATCTATATTATACAGATATATATATATATATGTATACACATTAGCTGCCCCTGGGTTCGTGGCTAAGTGGACTTCCGCGGGACGGATTGCTGTTGTTGTTGATGTTGTTGTTGCTGTTGCTGCTGTTGTTGGCGGTGGTGGTGTGGTTGATGTTGTTGTTGCTGCTGTTGTTGTTGCTGTTGATGATTCGTTGATCTTGGTGTTGTTACTGACGTGGTGGTTGTTGTTGTTGTTGATGTTGTTTGGTGGTGATGCTGTTGTTATTGGTGTTGCTGCTGGTGCTGTGATTGTTGGTGGTGTTGCTGGTGTGTTTGTTGTTGTTGATGTGTGTGTGTGCCTGTTGTTGTGCTGTTGCTGTCGCTGTCGCTGTTGTTGTTGTTGTTGTTGTTTGTTGGTTGTTGTTTGTTGTTTGTTGTTTGGTGTGTGTTGTTCGTTGTTTGTTGTTTGTTGTTTGTTGCTTGTTGTTGTCGTCGTCAGTCCGTCGTCGTCGTAGTCGTCGTCGTACGTCGTCGCGTCGTCGTCGTCGGTCGTCGTCCGTCCGCGACCAGCCCGCCACACACACCGCGAGCCCCCCGCGGACCAGCCCGCGACCCGCCGCGACCCTCGCGCGACCCAACCGCGACCCACCCGCAACCCACCCACAACACACCCACGACCCACCCCGCGACCTTCCTGCGACTCTCGCGCGGCCCACCCGCGACCCACCCCGCGCCTGCCCCCTCACTCTTATCCACACTGCGAGGTACTACATATTGCTTTCAATCTGTATGTATATATATATATATATATATACCCTAGAACCATCGCGCGCACTTCGCGCGCGCTCAGGTTCTAGCCCAGGCCAGGGGGGGGCTGGAAGATCTTGGACAGCGCTATAAAGCACAGGCGCGTGACATAGTCGTGCCTCCTGAGGGCCTCTTGGGAGGTATCTGAAGGGCTTCTGGGGGGTCCTCCGTGCTTCCTCAATTGGATGTTGGAGGCACCCCTGGGGTGCTTCCTGGGGGGGCGTCTTGGGCTTGGGGCCCCTTAGGGGCATCGTCGGGGTTCTCTGGGCAGTCGGAAGGCGATGTTCTGCAGTCTGAAGTCGTCATTGACCGTGCTGGCTGCGTGGAGGCCCGACCTGAGGCCACCTGGGGCCACATTGAAGCAACCCGGAAGCCTCCCGGGAGCCTCCAGGGGGCAGTTTTGATGCATCGAGGGCACTCGTGGCTATCTTTGGGACCCTTGTACGTCTCCTGGGGGCCTTTTGGGGCCTATTTTGGGAGCCTCGTCGGACCACTTGGGGACTCTTGGGGCCACCAGAGAGCCTCTTGGGGCGGAAGGCTCTGCTGTTGGGATCGCGACCCCCTTCTTGGGCCTCTCTGGGGCCGGCTTGGAGCCCTCTCGGGCCGTCTTGGGCGCCTCAGGCACCCTCTTGGGGCACTCGTGGGCCGTCTTGGGGCCCTGTTGGAAGCCTCTTGGGCTATCTTGAAGCGGTTTTGGGGCCTCTTGGGCCGTCTTGGAGCGTCGGGATGCCAACAAGCTGCAAACTCAAAATCCGCGAAAAACAAGTCGGAAAACAATGAAGTGTGCCTCTTCGGGCATTCTTGGCAGGCCTCTTGGAACCTCTTCGGCCCTCTGAAGCTTCTTGAGGGCCTCTTGGATCCTATTGGGGGCCACTTGGGGCTTCTTGAGAGCATCTCGGGGTGGAAGGCTCGGATCTTCGGTTCGTCCTACAACCATTGGGCCCCTCTTGGGGCCGTCTTGGTGCCCTCGCGGGCCGTCTTGGGCGCCTCAGGCACCCTCTTGGGGCACTCGTGAGCCGTCTTGGGGCCCTGTTGAAGCCTCTTGGGCTGTCTTGGAGCGGTATTGGAGGCCTCTTGGGCCGTCTCGGGGCGTCGGGATGCCCAAAGGCTAAAACCTCGAAAACCAAACCAAAACCAAAATGAGTTGTGCTTCTTGGGGCCTTCGTGGGAGGTCTCTTGGAAACACTTCGGCCCACTGGGGAGCTTTTTGGGGCCCCTTGGGGCCTGTTGGAGGCGTCTCGGGGCCTCCTGCGAGCCTCTCGGGGTGGAGACGCTCGGATTCTCGGTTCGCGTTACCCCTCTTGTCCCCCTCTTGGGGCCGTCTTGGTGCCCTCTCGGGCCGTCTTGGGCGGCTCTAGCGCCGTCGTGGGGCCCTCTTGGGCTGTCTTGCGGCCGTATTCGACGAATCTTCTGGGGCTGTATTGTTTCTCGCGGATCACCATGAAACAGAAACGCCTGGCCAGTAGTTAGTTGCTTCACAAGAACGACGCAATCTGCATGATGCGTAGCCCGAAGGGGCGCACTTGTCACACACTCACGTTCGAAAATATCCCCCATGGTCACGCGAAGGTTGCCGTTGCAACTGACAACTCGGAGAAAGGAGCCTGGCCACTCGCCACCACGTCCGTCAGGGCCGTATGTCTGGTACACGACGCTGGGGGAGTCATCGCGTCTTTATGGTCGTCTTCCCCCAGCAAGCCTCCGACGGCAAACCCTGCTCGCCCCAAATGCTTCACATACACATTCAAGTACTGGATGTCACTCGCCGTGCGTCCATGGACGACTTTCAGCTCAATCTTACCAATAACAACCCATTGAGGAATCGTCGCGACGATTTGCCGGACGCTGTAGTGATACCCCCCAACTTGCTTAGCCTCCGCCCAAGAGCCTGTAATGTTTAGTTCGTCGAAATACATATCCGAGCAACTTCCACCCAGTCGGCGCGCATCGGCCTGCACACGAAGCAATGCGTCTGCAGCGCTCACTCCACGAGGGATGTTAATCAGAACATGTGTGCCTGCCTTCATTAAATCGAACCGCTCGCCGTGGACGTTTTGAAGGTGGGGATCGCCACTGGCAGCCACGCCTCCGGCGGCTCCACCCGCCATGGGAGCTGCGGGAGGAAACGTTGGATGTGGCGTCGGCCAACCCAAAGGATACGTCGGGCTGGGCGTCGGGCTGGGCGTCGGGAAGGGCGTCGGGAAGGCCGTCGGGTAGAGCGTCGGGAAAGACGTGGGGAAGGCCGTCGGGAAAGCTGTGGGGAAGGCCGTCGGGAAGGCCGTCGGGAAGGGCGTCGGGAAGGCCGTCGGGAACGCCGTCGGGTAGGGCGTCGGGTAAGGCGTCGGGAAAGCCGTCGGGTACGGCGTCGGGAAAGCTGTCGGGAAGGGCGTCGGGAAGGCCGTCGGGTACGGCGTCGGGTACGGCGTCGGGTACGGCGTCGGGTACGGCGTCGGGTACGGCGTCGGGTTCGGCGTCGGGTTCGGCGTCGGGCTCGGCGTCGGGTACGGCGTCGGGTACGGCGTCGGGTACGGCGTCGGGTACGGCGTCGGGTACGGCGTCGGGTACGGCGTCGGGTTCGGCGTCGGGTTCGGCGTCGGGTTCGGCGTCGGGTTCGGCGTGGGGTTCGGCGTGGGGTTCGGCGTGGGATTCGGCGTCGGGCTCGGCGTCGGGTACGGCGTCGGGTACGGCGTCGGGTACGGCGTCGGGTACGGCGTGGGGTTCGGCGTCGGGTTCGGCGTGGGATTCGGCGTCGGGGCGTCGGGTTCGGCGTATACGGTGTAGAACAAGACGAGGCGCAATTCGCACCGCCAGTGTATGCCGTGGAAGAGCAGCACGCGGAATAGCAGTAAGTGTCCCAGCTACTGGAACCGCAATAGGGGTCGATTGTGTTAACGCACGTCTGGCAAGGCCCTGCAACACTCTTGGAGCAGACCCCGTTTGCCGGACACGCTCGCAGCTGGTCTTCTCCCTGCCCTCCTGCCCCAAGGGCTCGCGATGAATTGGCGACTACAAGCGACCTCGTCAAGGGCGCGGGAGGCCCAGGGAGCGCCCGGGACGCACTCTTCAAGTACACGGCGAAGCCGGAAGCTGCGAGCCTCGATGTGCAGTCGTTTCCGGCCATCACGGCGTAGCAAGCAGTGGGGCGGTCGCGCGTCAGCACCACGATGTCAGTGTTCACGGAAGCGTCTCCGACTGTAGTAAGCATCAGCTGGTAACATAGATCAGGGCTGGCCGCAGCAGCCCCAGAAGTACGAGCGACGTACACTTCGCCCTCACACATCTGGTCCTCGAAAGCCATCCACTCGTCAGCATAGCCTGTGAGAACGCCTTGCTGTACTGCCATGGCCCAAGTAAGCGTTAAGTGGAAGATCAACGCAAGTGTATACATGCCTTGCAATAGCCTTAGCAAATTGTTCGGTCGAAGCAGAAAATCACGTCAACAGCGCGCTTGAGCCAAAACGGTTACGGAAAGCCTCTGGGGCTGTCTTGGAGCAGACATTGGGGCCTTTTGGGCCATCGTGGGGCGTCGGGTAATTGAGAAGGCAAGATCTCCTTGGGGCTCCTTGGGAGACATCTTGGAGGCCTCTTGGGGCGTCTTGGAAGACTCTTGGACAGTCAGGGGCTAACTCTGGGGTCGTATCGGGCCGTCACTGGTCGTTGTCGCGGTCTGGAAGCGCCATTTCTGGCGATCCGGGGCCGGCTTCGGGCGATTTAAAAGAGCCCCTGGCACCCCGGCAGGGCCTCCGAGGCCCCCAGTCCTCCCATGCGCCGTGGGGGGACCCATCCCGGGCCCCCCGCCTCGTGACCAGGGAGAGAGAGAGAGAGAGAGAAGGAGGCATATTAATATATATATATATATATATACGTGTATATGTATATATATATACGTATGTATACACATGTATATATACATATATCTATATATATATATATATGATCCCAGGTCGAGGGTTCACAGGCCCCCCCCCCAAAGATGGGATGGGCCCCAGGGCTCCACAGGCCCCCCCCCCAAATGGGACGGGGTGGGCGACGACGAAGACGACGACGACGACGACGCCGACGACGACGACACCGACGCACACGCCGACACCGACGTCAACGCCAACGCCACGTGGGACGGGGCGGTGGGGACGTCGGCAATTTGCGAGACTCTGGAGAAGCCCGCCGCAGGCGCCAAAGTTTCACAAATCATACAACGAGCCCGCCGCAGGCGCAAATTTTTTCGTCAAACCAATGTTGGTAGGTCGCGGTCGCAAATGGGCGCGGGTGGGTCGCTGTTGGGTCGCGGGTGTAGAGGGCAGAAGATTCGCCCCAGAATACTCACCACGACAAGCGAAGCCGTTTAGTAAACGCACACAAGGAATGAATCGAACGGGGCAGGGCTGTGTAGTCAACGCCCAGGGCCGTTTAGAAAACGTCAATTGTCGGGTCTGGGTGGTTTTCCCTCCCTTGAGGGTGGGTCGCGGGGTGGGTCGCGGGTGGATCGCGGGGTGGGTCACAGATGGGTCGCGGATGGGTCGCGGATGGGTCGCGGGGTGGGTCGCGGGTGGGTCGCGGGTGGGTCGCGGGTGGGTCGCAGGGTGGGTCGCGGGTGGGTCGCCGGGGATGGTCGCAGGTGGGTCGCGGCTGGGACGACGACAACAAACAACCACAACAACCACAACAACAACAACAACAACAACAACGCCAACAGCAAGAACAACAACGACAACAACAACAGCAACGCAACAAGCAGAACTTTCACCACGGATTCCTTTTTCAGCCACGCACGCAGGGACAATGAATTACCGTTCGGCCCCCTCACTCTGATATATAGATATATATATATATATATATATATAGATAGATAGATAGATAGATAGATGCATACGTGTATATATTCAGGCACGTGTATGTATATCGATAGATGTATATACATGTGTACATAGATGTATAAAACTATACATATACCTATACACATTAACTGCCCCTGGGTTCGTGGCTAAGTGGACTTTCGCGGTACGGATTGCTGTTGTTGTTGATGTTGTTGTTGCTGTTGCTGCTGTTGTTGGCGGTGGTGGTGTGGTTGATGTTGTTATTGCTGCTGCTGTTGCTGCTGTGTTGATTGTTGATGTTGGTGGTGATGTTGTTATGATGCTGCTGCTGCTGGTGCTGCTGTTGTTGATTCGTTGATGTTGTCGTCGGTGTTACCCCTCTTGTCCCCCTCTTGGGGCCGTCTTGGTGCCCTCTCGGGCCGTCTTGGGCGGCTCTAGCGCCGTCGTGGGGCCCTCTTGGGCTGTCTTGCGGCCGTATTCGACGAATCTTCTGGGGCTGTATTTTTTCTCGCGGATCACCATGAAACAGAAACGCCTGGCCAGTAGTTAGTTGCTTCACAAGAACGACGCAATCTGCATGATGCGTAGCCCGAAGGGGCGCACTTGTCACACACTCACGTTCGAAAATATCCCCCATGGTCACGCGAAGGTTGCCGTTGCAACTGACAACTCGGAGAAAGGAGCCTGGCCACTCGCCACCACGACCAACGGGCAACATCAACAACAACAACAACAACAACGACAACAACAACAGCAACAACAATAACAACAGCAACAACAACAGCAACAACAACAACACCAGCAATAACAAGAACAACAATGACGACAACAACAAGGCAACAAGCAGAACTTTCACCACGAATTCCTTATTCAGCCACGCACGCAGGGACAATGAATGGCCGTTGGGCCCCCTCATTCTGATATATATATATATATATACATACACATACATACGTGTATATATTCAGATACGTGTACGTATATCGATGGATGTATATACATGTATACATTTATAGATATATAAATCTACACATATACATACATTAGCTGCCCCTGGGTTCGTGGCTACGTGGACTTCCGCGGTACGGATTGCTGTCATTGTTGATGTTGTTGTTGCTGCTGCTGCTGCTGTTGTTGGCGGTGGTGGTGTTGCTGATGTTGTTGCTGCTGTTGTTGTTGCTGTTGATGGTTCGTTGATGTTGGTGTTGTTACTGATGTTGTGGTTGTTGCTGTTGCTATTGCTTGGTGATGCTGCTGTTGTTATTGGTGTTGCTGCTGGTGTTGTTATTGTTGGTGGTGCTGCTGGTGTGTTTGTTGTTGTTGTTGTTGATGTGTGTGTTTGTTGTTGTGCTGTTGTCGTCGCTGTTGTTGTTGTTGGTGGTGTTGTTGTTGTGGTTGTTGTTGGTGTTGTTTGTTGTTGTCGTCGTCCCGCCCGCGACCCCGCCCGCCACCCACCCCGCGAGCCCCCCGCGACCCGCTCGCGACCCGCCCGCGACCCACCCGAAACACACCCGCGACCCTCGCGCGACCCACCCGCGACCCACCCACAACACACCCGCGACCCACCCCGCGACCCATCTGCGACTCTCGCGCGACCCACCCGCGACCCACCCCGCGCCTGCCCCCTCACTCTTATCCACACTGCGGGGTACTACATATTGTTTTCAATATGTATGTGTATATATATATATGTCCTAGAACCATCGCGCGCACTTCGCGCGCGCTCAGGTTCTAGCCCAGGCCAGGGGGGGGCTGGAAGATCTTGGACAGCGCTATGAAGCACAGGCGCGTGACATAGTCGTGCCTCCTGAAGGCCTCTTGGGAGGCATCTGAAGGGCTTCTGGGGGGTCCTCCGTGCTTCCTCAATTGGCTGTTCGAGGCACCTCTTGGGTGCTTCCTGGGGGGGCGTCTTGGGCTTGGGGCCCCTTAGGGGCATCGTCGGGGTTCTCTGGGCAGTCGGAAGGCGATGTTCTGCAGTCTGAAGTCGTCATTGACCGTGCTGGCTGCGTGGAGGCCCGACCTGAGGCCACCTGGGGCCACATTGAGGCAACCCAGAAGCCTCCCGGGAGCCTCCAGGGGGCAGTTTTGATGCATCGAGGGCACTCGTGGCTATCTGTTCAACCCTTGGTACGTCTCCTGGGACGACGATGGGGCCTGTTTGGAGGCCTCTTCCCCGTCTCGTCGGACCCACTTGGGAGGCTTGGGGCCACCAGAGAGCCTCTTGGGGCGGAAGGCTCTGCTGTTGGGATCGCGACCCCCTTCTTGGGCCTCTCTGGGGCCGTCTTGGTGCCCTCTCGGGCCGTCTGGGCGCCTCTGGCACCCTCTTGGGGCACTCGTGGGCCGTCTTGGGGCCCTGTTGGAAGCCTCTTGGGCTATCTTGAAGCGGTTTTGGGGCCTCTTGGGCAGTCTTGGAGCGTCGGGATGCCAACAAGCTGAAAACTCAAAATCCGCGAAAAACAAATCGGAAAACAATGAAGTGTGCCTATTGGGGCATTCTTGGCAGGCCTCTTGGAACATCTTCGGCTCTCTGAAGCTTCTTGAGGGCCTCTTGGATCCTATTGGGTGCCACTTGGGGCTTCTTGAGAGCATCTCGGGGTGGAAGGCTCCGATTTTCGGTTCGTCCTACAACCCTTGGGCCCCTCTTGGGGCCGTCTTGGTGCCATCTCGGGCCGTCTTGGGCGCCTCAGGCACCCTCTTGGGGCACTCGTGGGCCGTCTTGGGACCCTGTTGGAAGCCTCTTGGGCTATCTTGGAGCGATATTGGAGGCCTCTTGGGCCGTCTCGGGGCGTCAGGATGCCCAAAGGCTGAAACCTCGAAAACCAAAGCAAAACCAAAATGAGTTGTGCTTCTTGGGGCCTTCGTGGGAGGTCTCTTGGAAACTCTTCGGCCAACTGGGGGGCTTGTTGGGCCTTCTTGGGGCCTGTTGGGGGCGTCTCGGGGCCTCCTGCGAGCCTCTCGGGGTGGAGACGCTCGGATTCTCGGTTCGCGTTACCCCTCTTGACCCCCTCTTGGGGCCGTCTTGGTGCCCTCTCGGGCCGTCTTGGGCGGCTCCAGCGCCGTCGTGGGGCCCTCTTGGGCTGTCTTGCGGCCGTATTCGACGAATCTGCTGGGGCTGTACTTTTTTTCTCGCGGATCACCGTGAAACAGAAACGTCACACACTCACGTTCGAAAGTATCCCCCATGGTCACGCGAAGGTTGCCGTTGCAACTGACAACTCGGAGAAATGAGCCTGGCCACTCGCCACCACGTCCGTCAGAGGGCCGTATGTCTGGTACACGACGCTGGGGGAGTCATCGCGTCTTTATGGTCGTCTTCCCCCAGCAAGCCTCCGACGGCAAACCCTGATCGCCCCAAATGCTTCACATACACATTCAAGTACTGGATGTCACTCGCCGTGCGTCCATGGACGACTTTCAGCTCAATCTTACCAATAACAACCCATTGAGGAATCTTCGTGACGATTTGCCGGACGCTGTAGTGATACCCCCCAACTTGCTTAGCCTCAGCCCAAGAGCCTGTAATGTTTAGTTCGTCGAAATACATATCCGAGCAACTTCCACCCAGTCGGCGCGCATCGGCCTGCACACGAAGCAATGCATCTGCAGCGCTCACTCCACGAGGGATGTTAATCAGAACATGTGTGCCTGCCTTCATTAAATCGAACCGCTCGCCGTGGACGTTTTGAAGGCGGGGATCGCCACTGGCAGCCACGCC